TTTCCAAGTATCTTCGCCAGCAGGAAACCTTTGTTCGTCGAACTAGGTCCTGGTTCGGTAAAGGCCCAGGGACACGTAACGTTGCCACTTTGCGATATCGCTTTATGAAATAAGCCTGCGAGTGGAATCATAACGAGAATTTTTAGCTATATTAGTATGATTTGTCCTTCTAAAAATAATTCTTGTTTTTTTTCTCTTTGATTTAATAATATTCAGCTATTTTGGAGAACAAATTTGTATCTCTTTAATTTGTTTTTTTAATTGACATTAATTGAAATAACATGTTATATATCTGCTTAATTCGTGAAATTTTCTATATCAGAACGTGCTAGTACCTCAACCCGATTTTTGTTGAACACATAAAAAATTGTTTTTAAGTTTCTAATAAATGTCTGTCAAAATTCTGATGAAATAAACGCCAGATAATTTTGTATATGCATCGAAAAATCTGTGCACCTTCACTTAATGGCGATAAAGTCAAGTAATGTACAATGGCTCCACCGGCGCTTTCGCCAAAAATAGTGACATTTTTTGAATCGCCACCAAACTTTGATATATTTTTCTGTACCCATATTAATGCCATGATCACATCCTTCAGACCTTGATTACCCGTTGCCACTTTATTGTATAGATTCAGGAAACCTAAAGAAATAATAATTCGTATATTAATGCAAAATTGATTTATTTAAATTAAATGTTTAGATGATTAATTAATATTCGGAAAAAAGTGCAGCTCGTTAGTAATTTTCTAAAATTATATATTTGTGATTAATGAAAGGCGTGAATATTGTTTTACGTTGTAAACATTATATTTCAAAATATACGTTCTTTTAATTTTTTAGAAAATTTGAACACGAACTTTCAAAAAATACAAATATTTATATATTGATTGGGAGGGATAATATATTTAGTTAACATGTTTTAAAGTAACATTTATAAACGTTTTTATTAATATTTATTAGATTGAATGAGAATGTTATAAACGTATCCTGTAATCGCATCAAAAAGTACAATTTTAATGATAAAGCAAATGCCATATTTTTTTAGTTGATCTATATTTATTTATATATATGTATATTCAAATAATGTTTATATTTGATAAAAATTAATAGTAAACTTTTAACATATTGCTTTTGAATACAATTGGTGGAAGATGTATTATAAATATTTTTTAATTAATATATATATTGAATCTTTCTTGAAGAGAATCTTTTTGTTCAGGTTTTTTTATATTTTTTGAGAGTTTAAATTTAAAAAAATTTATCGTCTACAAAATATCAGTATTTAAATAACTCTAGATATGTGGCATATCTAATCGTAAATATTCTCTCTGAGAGGAAATAAATCAAATGCGATATGCACTAAACGTAAGTGATAATATACCAAGTATTAAGCTAATATAACGTACCTAGAACGCCTAATCGGTAATTTAATGTAACCAATACCACGTCCTTTTGAACGATGTAATCGGGACCGTAAAAGGACGAGTCACCGGAGCCCACGAAAAAGCCACCACCGTGTATCCAAACCATCACAGGACGTTTCTTTGAAGGATTAATGTCATTGGTGAACACGTTCAAATAGAGACAATCTTCGTCTCCTATCAATACGTGTTTGATAAAATCTAGCTGAACGGCGACATTTCCGTATTTCGAAGCGTCTCTGGTGCCGGACCATGGTTCCGGTGGTACCGGATCCTATATAAATAAAATAGCCAGATGAAACGTATCATCAGAAGGGGATTTATCCTTAATAACAAATTCGCATATAATCAATGTTGCGGTTAGATAATCTCAAAATTAGATGAAGTAAAAATATTTATCTTGTCAGATAAGATAAAGATAATTTTGTTTTAAATATATCTAGATGAGAGATAAAATTATATGGCGAATTATCTAGATAATTTTCAAATAATATTCTTTTAAGGAAGGTTTATGTAAACGCAGTTATAAAAAATGTAAAGTAAGAAATATAAAAATAGATTTATTGTGCTATGACTAAATCAAATTATCTAAACATTATTCTAGATAATTTAGTTAACGGGTAACACTTTTTTCTTCTAAGATGCAGATATAGATCAATATACATTTATATTATCTATAAAGATGAGATGACGTTAAAATTTCATCTAGATAATAATCTATATAATTTTATTTAGACAACAGCAAATACTGCGTGTAAATTAAAGTTAAAGTGGAAGGCTCTCTGATATAAAATATGTACAAATAAATAAGAGCGGGCTAATTAAGAGCTTGTAAACCCAAATTTTTCTTTCTTATAAAAAATTATTTATTTTGTATATGTTTTGATTCTGGGTTCGGATTATCATTAGCAAATAAAAACCGCATGTAATTGTCTGCCTATATATTAAACTTTATTAAACTTTATCTTTTGTTGACTATCGTGTTATATAATTCTCGTGAATATATGTGATGAAAAGTGATAGATTGATGATGAGATAAATTAGTGCGTAATTTACTCAAATATTGCATAAATTGTGAAATTCTAGTTATATTAATCTTATCACGTGTTTTATCATGTGTTATCACTAAACTTGTTTTTTTTACTTTGAAGATGTTTTTACATCTACAAGGTCAACACCAATATAGTGTTTATAATACCTATATATAAATGCATAAGATACTTATTAAACAGTGCAAACATGTTTATGCATATTATTTTTAATATATATGATATACCACAAGCTAACATATTGAAAGATGATAGAACTAATCAATAAGCGAATTGACTTAAATAATAATCAGAACAACTATTTAAAATTGTGCATTTTGCAAAGATATTAGATTAGATTAAAAAGATTACACGATTGGATTTGTTTATTGCTTAAGTCTGACCATGTAATCTCTAACGTATGTTACAGTTACACGAAATGTGTACAACGAAAAAAATAATTTATTCTATAGAAACAAAGCATTTCTTATATGTTTTAACAACAAATATATGTTACATAGTAATAACTTTTTAAATCATTTTTTGTGCTTAAAAATGAGAAGGTAATGGCATTTATTATTACTTTTTTTAAATGTTTTTTTTAATAACGCTATAATTAGAAATAATTATTTAAATAACACACAATAATTTATTATTTTTTATTAATACAAAATAACAAGGTAAACGATAAGGTATTGTATAATAATCGCACAATTAGGCAAATTCTAGTTTTATCAGCTAGTCTTTTATCAGCGGCTTTTATTTTGTAGTCAATTTTGTGTAAATTTTTAAATCGCAATCTTATAGCTGAAATAATCAAGTTAAGTAAGAAATCGAACAATTTTAACGAAAAAAACTTAAAATTAGGTTTTTCACACACCTGAGAATTAACATGCATTAACATATAATAGTATGTATTTTTTATTATTTTTATGCATATTTTTTTATTTTGTTAACCAAAAATAAATACTAATTTAAATAATATGCAACAATTAATTTTTTGTTTTTATATCTCTAAAGTAATGAGAAGAAAGATAAAATATAATAATAAGCAATCTAAATAAATTTACTAGTTACTTTTTTATCAACGGTATTTTATTGCCGATTTTTTTTTGTAGTTCTTTTTAATCTTAGGGAGAAAATAGATGCATTAAATAAAAGGGAGAAAATAGATGCATTAAATAAATTATAGATAATCTCAATGAAAACAGGCTAAAATTAATAATCTGTAAAATATTGACGCTAATACTGACACCCTGTATATTTACCTTAAATCTGAGTTCGCCAATTGGAGGTTTCGCATATGGTATCCCACGGAAAGCAACGAAACGACTGTCATAAACACTTTTCTGAACGATACCACTCAACTTGCCATTACTTATAGAAACTTCCACTCTGTCCATAATGAATACACTAACAAAATGTAAAATTACATAAATAATAAGTGTAAAATTATATAGTTTTACTTATCTTTATGTAATATATATTTTCTTACAATGTAAGATAGATGAATGGCAGGAAAAGAACAGTGACGAACTAATTTCTGCCGACTCACATTAGCTGATACTCTATCGCTGATTATATATCAATGCGAAAACAACTTCGTCTGAAGTAAGCATTTTAGATAAAGATGTAATGCATTTTATATATGTATATACATACATACTTATACATTAGATTTATCTATCTCGTCATTTTGCACTCAATAAAAAATAACATGCCTACTTCAGACGAAATTGTTTTTGCATTGATATATAATGAGCGATAGAGCATCAGCTAATGTAAGTCGGCAGAAATTAGTTTGTCACTGTTAACGTAAGTTCTTATGTAAGTGTAATTATAAAAATTAATAATATCATGTCTTTTAAAATCGTATCGCTAACAGAGAATTCCGATTTCTATACTTTGATAACAATCGTTATTGTTCTCTATACGTTAGAAGGCAGCGATGCCATCACAGAAAGGCAAAGATGTCAGTCTCAGGATTGTACTGGAAAAAGTTGGTTGTCCGCGAATTTCAGGGGTCAAGATTTCCTTAGTCCACTCTTAGATAGCCACAACTTAAAATATTAAAGCGACACTTTCGACAACAATTTTTGGAACTCTAGGGATTCTTTCTATCCAATAGCCAATCCGTACAAAACTCGTCACATAACGAATATTATTTTTGCCTGCGCGGGGTATACAACATACATGAAGGGAAGCTTTGCCAAATCTGTCACTACCATATTACTGACATAAACACGAAAAATTTAATTCTATATGAACATAGGATTAAATAACAAAGTTTTTTTATTTTTTCATTGATTTTTTGTATTTAATTTACTGTGATATTATACAATGACATTTTAGCATTAAATTATTATTTATTTAAATTTAATTTGAAATTTAATGACACTTTTAGGCTTAATTTGTGAAAAATTTAGGTTTATGTTAAGTAGATTACAATATAAAAACTTTATATCTTGATATTTTCATTAAAATTAATTTTTTGATTTTGTAGAAAAAATAAAGGATGGCATTCGTAAAAAAAGCAGACTACAAATATTTTTTTCTTTAGAAGTAGTTTATATAAATATATAATTTTAAACACAAGAAACCATTACAGAAAACAGAAAAAACATTTATCACAAATGCAAAAAAATTTTAATGCTGATAAATTATTTTTTGCGGAGTATTATAGTTTTTTTCTCGCGTTCTCCCAGTCCCAACGTTCCTCTCCTTTACGGAAGGTTTTCATTTGAGGTTTGCTATCGATGTTTAAATAATCAAATACATTTCCGCCATGCTTCAGTGGGGTCCATTTAATCGGAGTCAAATCTGTAATTGCGGGTGTTGGATTCCTGGAAATAAATTGAAAATTAATTAATTAAATAATTGAAAATTATTAATGCGCACAACTGTAAAATCACATAAGAATCTAATCAAATAAGAAGTGGTATACGTACCCCGTTTTAGCAAAATCTGTCCACATCTGCGTTAAACAATTCATCATCTTATAATCTTCCGAATCAGACGCGGGCAATGATAAGCCCAACTCTTTTATTATTTCAGGATAAAACAGATAACACAGTTCCTCGGCGTGAGACACACCTGCAAAATATTATCGTAAATTGATTTTAAAAACAGATAAAAATCTTTATTCCAGTTTTAAGTATATTAGAGAAAATATTTAAATTAACACAAAGAGAGAATATATAGTTTTTTTCTTAGTTTAATATTTGAAACGAAATTACTTTCTCTCGCTTCTTTTTCTAATATTAAATTAATTAGCGTGGTCTAAAATTTATTAGCGGTAGTACCTGGAAGCTCAATATTGATTATTTTTTTCATTAAGGAAGTTGGACTTTCGTATGAAAATTGATACAGATATGTCTTTCCAGAATTATCGCTATTCATCTGGATATCCGCTATTTGCATAATACTGCGGTAAAAAAATTCGTCGCCCACGAAATCAGCGTACTCGAGCAGTGTTTTCTCTGAAATTGCTTTGTTGCCAAAATAATAAGATCGTAATTCTGACAATGTGATTGGCAGTGTAGCTACAACTTTTGGTAATACTGCCATTTTGAAATCAGCATCAACTTTGCTGAGATCTTCCTTAGTTATGTCTGAAACAATTTTAAAGGTGTTATCACAGATAATAATATTTCAATAATATTTATAATTTTTAATACTATTTTATTTTTATTTTTTTATTTTTTTTATTTTTTGCTAAAAGATAATTAACTTTGCTAATTACTAAGAATTTTATGAGGATAAAAATATAAGTGTACTCACGTCCGAAAAATGCACTCTTTAGCACAAAAATTCCCTCGGATCTGGTAAAACCTATAAGATATGGCACTTTAACCCCGCGATGTATAAGCGTCTCTAGATTTCCCGGAAAGGCTGGATTCGATGATTCGTTATCCAGAGTGGGTGAAAATGTCAGTTGATATTGTCGACGCTCCTGCAAAAAATACGAGGTGTTGTTAAAGAAAATATTTTTTTTCAAAATCTTTGTAAATTTCCGTGACAGTAATTGACGTGCGAGTATTTCCGTACTGAATTAATCGCTATCAAATATCAAAGTACACGAAGAGAATTTTCTCTTAGAATTTACCCTGAAAATTGTATGACTCTCTGATTAAATATTTATCTAATTTATCACTATAAAATATATTAATATGTACATAATAAAATTAATCGAACGCATTTTACATCTTATTATAGCATAGATATAAACATTTTTTATTGTGATAAAAATATTAATCAGAGCAATTTTTATAAAATTCTTCCAATATTATATTGTCCCATGATTAGCATCATTTTTAGTGTAAATTCTAAGAGAAACTTTTTTCTGTATACGCTTACTGCTTCCGTCAGGAGATTTTGTTGTTCAATCTCTATGAGTTTTCCTGCGTCGATTGTTTTGAGAAACTCGTAGGCGATCTTCGGATCGTCGGTCGCTTTTCCAAGTTTCTTCGCCAGCAGGAAACCTCTGTTCGTCGAACTAGGTCCTGGTTCGGTAAAGGCCCAGGGACACGCAATGTTGCCACTTTGCGATATTGCTTTATGAAATAAGCCTGCGAGTGGAATCGTAACGAAAATTTTTACCTATTAGTACGATTTGTCCTTCTAAAAATAATTCTTGTTTTTTTCCTCTTTGATTTAATAATATGCAGCCTATTTTGGAGAACAAATTTGTATCTCTTTAATTTGTTTCTTTCGTTAATTTCAAATCGACTGTTTCTCTTAGCAAAAACATCGAAATACCTAATCAATTTTAATTTGTGGTCGAATTTTTAGACTTTAACATATATTTTTGCTGTTAAAAGAAAAATTATAATTTTAAAAACTTGAAATTAAAATTTTGTCGTAATATCAATTTGATATTAATTGAAATAACATGTTTTATATCTGCTTAATTCGCGAAATTTTTTATATCAGAACGTGCTAGTACCTCAACCCGATTTTTGTTGAACATATAAAAAATTGATTTTAAGTTTCTAATAAACGTCTGTCAAAATTCTAATTAAATAAACGCCAGATAATTTTGTATATGCATCAAAAAATTTGTGCACCTTCACTTAATGGCGATAAAGTCAAGCAATGTGTAAGGGCTCCACCGGCGCTTTCGCCAAAGATAGTGACATTTTCTGAATCGCCACCAAACTTCAATATATTTTTCTGTACCCATATTAATGCCATGATCACATCCTTCAGACCTTGATTGCCCGTTGCCACTTTATTGTATAGATTCAGGAAACCTAAAGAAATAATAATTCGTATATTAATGCAAAATTGATTTATTTAAATTAAATGTTTAGATGATTAATTAACATTCCGAAAAAAGTGCAGCTTGTTACTAATTTTCTAAAATTATATATTTGTGATTAATGAAAGGCGTGAATATTGTTTTACGTTGTAAACATTATATTTCAAAATATATGTTCTTTTAATTTTTTAGAAAACTTGAACACAAACTTTAAAAATACAAATATTTATATATTGATTGGGAGGGATAATATATTTAGTTAACATGTTTTAAAGTAACATTTATAAACGTTTTTATTAATATTTATTAGATTGAATGAGAATGTTATAAACGTATTCTGTAATCGCGTCAAAAAGTACAATTTGAATGATAAAGCAAATGCCATATTTTTTTAGTTGATCTATATTTATTTATATATATGTATATTCAAATAATGTTTATATTTGATAAAAATTAATAGTAAACTTTTAACATATTGCTTTTGAATACAATTGGTGGAAGATGTATTATAAATATTTTTTAATTAATATATATATTGAATCTTTCTTGAAGAGAATCTTTTTGTTCAGGTTTTTTTATATTTTTTGAGAGTTTAAATTTAAAAAAATTTATCATCTACAAAATATCAGTATTTAAATAACTCTAGATATGTGGCATATCTAATCGTAAATATTCTCTCTGAGAGGAAATAAATCAAATGCGATATGCACTAAACGTAAGTGATAATATACCAAGTATTAAGCTAATATAACGTACCTAGAACGCCTAATCGGTAATTTAATGTAACCAATACCACGTCCTTTTGAACGATGTAATCGGGACCGTAAAAGGACGAGTCACCGGAGCCCACGAAAAAGCCACCACCGTGTATCCAAACCATCACAGGACGTTTCTTTGAAGGATTAATGTCATTGGTGAACACGTTCAAATAGAGACAATCTTCGTCTCCTATCAATACGTGTTTGATAAAATCTAGCTGAACGGCGACATTTCCGTATTTCGAAGCGTCTCTGGTGCCGGACCATGGTTCCGGTGGTACCGGATCCTATATAAATAAAATATCCAGATAAAACATCATCAGAAAGGGATTTATTCTTAATAACAAATTCGCATATAATCAATGTTGCGGTTAGATAATCTCAAAATTAGATGAAGTAAAAATATTTATCTTGTCAGATAAGATAAAGATAATTTTGTTTTAAATATATCTAGATGAGAGATAAAATTATATGGCGAATTATCTAGATAATTTTCAGATAATATTCTTTTAAGGAAGGTTTATGTAACCGCAGATATAAAAAATGTAAAGTAAGAAATATAAAAATAGATCTATTGTGCTATGACTAAATCAAATTATTTAAACATTATTCTAGATAATTTAGTTAACGGGTAACACTTTTTTCTTCTAAGATGCAGATATAGATCAATATACATTTGTATTATCTATAAAGATGAGATGACGTTAAAATTTCATCTAGATAATAATCTATATAATTTTATTTAGACAACAGCAAATACTGCGTGTAAGTTAAAATTAAAGTGGAAGGCTGTCTGATATAAAATATGTACAAATAAATAAGAGCGGGCTAATTAAGAGCCTGAAAACCCAAATTTTTCTTTCTTATAAAAAATTAATTATTTTGTATATGTTCTGATTCTGGGTTCGGATTATCATTAGCAAATAAAAACCGTATGCAATCGTCTGCCTATATATTAAACTTTATTAAACTTTATCTTTAGTTGATTATCGTGTTATATATAATTCTATAGTGTTATATAATAATTATCTATATTATTTTTTTTTATATAACAGCAAACACTGCGTGTAATTAAATTAGAAGTAGAAGGCTGTCTGATATAGAATATCTACAAATAAATAAGAACGGGCTAATTAAGAGCTGAACGCTGTAAACGCAGATTCTATTTTCTTGTTAAAAATTTTTTGTTTTTATATACGTTTCAATTCTGGGTTTGGAGCATTATCAGGAAATAAAAACATGTAATTGTCTGTCTAGATTAAACTTCAATTAACTTTATCTTTTGTTGACTATCGTGTTATATAATTCTCGTAAATATATGTGACTAAAACTGATAGATTGACAAGGTAAATCAGTGTCTTTTTTGCGCAAATATTGAAGTAGTTGTGCAATTGTAGTTACTTTAATCTTATCACGTATTTTATAATGTGTTATGGCAAGTTGTTTTTTACTTTGAAGAAGGTGTTTTTATGTCTATAAGATATACACCAATATAGTGTTTATAATATCTATATTTAAATGCCTAAGATACGGGCATCACACCTTTGATTAAACATAAAAAGTGCAAACATGTTTATGCATATTATTTTTAACACATATCGCATAAAGCAAAAAGCTAACGTATTGAGAGATGCATATAGCGAATCGGCTTAAATAATAATAAAAACAATTATTTAAAATCGTGCATTTTGCAAAGATAGATTAGATTAAACAGGTCATACAGTTAATGCACTTGTTTATAGCGTAAGTCTTATCATGTAGTCTCTTGCATATGTTACAATTACACGAAAAGTCTACAACGTAAAGGATACTTTTTCCTATAGAAACAAATAATGTTTTACACATTTTCACAAAAATTAATTTGTTACATAGTAATCATTTCTTAAACAAATCATTTTTGTGCCTGAAAATTAAAAGGTAATAGCATGCATTTATTATTAGATCTACTTTTTCTGTAATAATTTTTTAAAAATATTGTTATAATTAGAAATAATTATTTAAATAACACACAATAATATATTATTTTTTATTTCTACGAAATAACAAGAAAAAGATAAGATATTATATAATAATCGCGCAATCTGGCAAATCCTAGTTTTATTAACTAGTTTTATTTTTAATCAATTATTTGTAATTTTTTTAAATCGCAATTTTAGAGCTAAAATAATCAAATTAAATAAAAGTTAAATAAGAAAATGAACAATCTCAATGAAAGAAAGCTAAAATTATGTTTATTATACACCTGAAAATTAACATGTATTAGCATATAATAATATGTATCTATTATTTTTTTATAAATATTTTTTAATGTCATTAATCATCAGAAATAGATACTAATTTAAAATAATGACCTTAATCAGAAATAGATACTAATTTAAATAACATGCAACAATTAATTTTTGTTCTTATTTCTGCAAAGTAATAAGAAGAAAAATAAAATCTATTAATAAAAGCAATCTAAATAAATTTACTAGTTACTTCTTTATCAATGGCATTTTGTAGCCGATTTTTTGTAGTTTTTTTTTTTTAATCTTTGGGAGAAAATAGTCGCATCAAATACGGGTATAGACAATCTCAATGAAAACAGTTGTTTTAGCCTAGGCTAAAATTAATAGTGTGTAAAATCGATCACGCTAATACTGAAAATCCTGTATATTTACCTTAAATCTGAGTTCGCCAATCGGAGGTTTCGCATATGGTATTCCACGAAAAGCAACGAAACGACCGCCATAAACACCTTTCTCGACGATGCCTCTCAACTTGCCTTCACTTATAGAAACTTCGATCCTGTCCATGATGGATATTTGCACTGTAAAATATTATGTAAAATTACGTAAATATTAAGTGTAAAATTATTTATGTGATTTTGCATATTTTTTGTATAATATATTACATATTTTCTTACAATGTAAGATAGACAAATAGCGGGAGAAGAACAGTTGTGACAAACAGATTTCTGCGCCGACTAACATTAGCTTAAATTTTCTCACTGATTATATACCAATGTAAAAACAGGTTTCGTTTGGAGTAGGGATCAGATAAAAAATTAATACGTTTTATACTATATGTATGTGGATACATGAATGTATGTGGTACATACATATACACACAAGATTTTCTGTTATCTATATCGTTATTTTACACTCACTAACAAAAATGACATTCTAATCCTTATTAATCTAACTTTTAAATAAAATCTGAATTGTCAAGGTTGATTTTTATAAGCAAATGTTTGTTCTTTAAGAATACAAGGATTATTTATAACTTGTATTCTAATGTAAATGTAATTATACGAATTAATAATATTATGTCTTTTAAAGTCGTATAGCTTACAGAGAATTATGATTTCAATACCTTGATAACAACTCAGCCAGCTAAATCTGTTTCAACAGATTTGGCCATACATCTGCTATATATTTTTATGAGCAAAAAAATTCCAAGTTGTATACAAAATCTGTTATATCAGCTAATGATGATAGAAATGTTATAAAACTTGCTGACATAGTTTGGCAGTAGATTAATAGCAAAAATCAAACAGGATTTGTATAAAATTATCATAGCAAATTGATGGTAGACACGGAGCAAGGTTTGCGCGCGCATAATCTGAAGGCGAATTGATAACAGATCTGCATTAATTATTGCTACGCGATGTTTTTTCGCAATCAAATTTCATTTAAAAGTAGATATGAGGATGTAAAGTCTACAAGTCGTGGCTATAATTAATAATTAAAAGACGAAAAGTACATATTTCTATCAGTTTACTTTCTGATAAGCTATGAGAATATTAAACTGATTAATTTTTCATTTATTTCCTATTTGTAGAAAGCAAGAATGAAATTTTCATAAATTATCTTATTTTACAATAAATTATCTTATTTTACATTTTATAAATAGAATTTAATTATTTTTATAATTTATTTTATTATTAATTTAATTAAGTTTTAAACATTCACTATGTGAGATATATATAATTACGATATGACATATTTATGAAAGGAAAATGATAAATGCATGTGTTATATAATTTTTTTTTATTTAAAAATATTCAATTTTTTATGATTTATATGTTCAAATAACAAGGAGCTGCAAGTCTTGTTCGAGTTCTGCAGCCAGTCTGTTGTCAAGTTATATCAGCAGAATCTGTTGACAAAACACAAGTTCAATACAGACACGGTTGATATCAATCTGTGCAGCAATATGTTACACATACCGTTAATATTTTATGCAGCACGTTTCAGAGAAAAAACTAATGAATATCATACATTAATTTTCTCGCCAATGAGTTTTTGCGCGGCATTATGGAAATAGTCGATATTCAAGTAAATTGTAAAGCTAACGAGCTATACTTACTAACAAGTTTTTATACGAAAGTAAAATTTTTTTTGTAAGAAAATATTGAATTTTATAGTTTTCTAGACAGTCATTAATTTATTTAAAATACAATATTTGCATATAACAATCGTTATATATACAAGTGTTCTAAAAGTTTTGTAATAATCAAATATCTCAAAAACAAAGTCTTTTTGAGAGAAATAAATGTTTTTTTATTAAAAATAAATGTTTCAAATAAATGTCGTAGATCTTTAAGTGCATTAAATAGTAATGTTAATGTAACTATAAAGCAGTGTAAAATTTACGTTGAAATTTTTAAAAGAAAATGCCTATTTTTGATTGTACATTCTTGTAACTTATCTCAAAAGCTTTCCAAAACACTTTAATGAAATATATTTTTATCTGGTGTTTTTCTAATTATAATGCTTGAAGTTTACAGTATTTTGATATGAAATACAAAATATCTTGTAAAATATTTAATTTTCGATAATCTTATCTTAATCGCGTAAAATAATTAGACAAATTAATTGATGTTAAGAAAACGCGTAGTTATTTATAAAAAAATGTATACAATTTGCAATATATTTCTTCTTAAAAACAATTTTGCGTCAATTGATTCGTCTTATTATTTAGTGTATAAAAATATTAAGGTAAGATTACCGAAAACTGAATATTTTGTATTATATATATATATATATATATATATGTCAAACTACTGTATCTTTCAAACCTCATAAAATACTCGGAAAATACTTAACGGGAAAAAAACTGTATTGCAGTGTTTCGAAAAGGCCTGAAGATAAGCTGTACGAATATATAATCAAAAATAGTTTACATTTGAAAATTTTAAAATAAATTTTACACGGCTTTAACAATGCTATTTAATGTTACTACTTAATGCGCCACTTAAAACCCTACAATTTTTATTTGAAACATTTTTCTCAAAAAGCCTTTGTTTTCGAGATATTTTATTATTACAGGACTTTTGGGACAGCTTGTACATATTTGCATATAAGAATCGTTAGTCTTCAAAAGATCTAAAAATAAGTACACTCATTATGTAAAACAAAAGTTTTTTATTAACAACGCCAATAAGATTCTATATCTAGAAAATCTACATAATTGCAAGAAAACAAATATGACTCTGTTCTGTAATATTATAATTTAAATTAAAATAAGGACTAATTGAGAGTCGAACGCGAAAGTCGGTGCGCATATATTAAAATACGTTGGTAGAATTTAATATTCTTCTAATGAACGTTTCGGTCAAGATTGAACTTCAGCATCTGAGATAATTGTTTCTTGTGTTGATCTTCAGCAAATCGTCTAACATTGTTCGCAATCAGTCATTTTCAATTCCAGTCATAAAGGACGCTTTTGTTTCCGGGCTGGAGATGTTAATTATTATTTATAAAATCTGCCTGACGAGATGTTTCCAGTCGCGAAAAATAATACTAACTGCGTTAATTGTGAACAATCGTTAGACGATTTGCCGAAAATCAACAAAAGACACAATTATCGTATCAGTTTAATCTTGAGGACCCAAACATTTATTAATAAAAAGATAATGAATTCTATTGTATTTTAATATTGCACCGACTTTCGCCCTTAGCTCTCAATTAGGCCATTTCATTAACTTATGTAATATTATAAATTTTGTTATATTTCGATTAATTATTTCGAAATGTTGGATGCTTCATCGCAATTAAATTTATCTTTATCGATTTTTTATTTACTTTTTTATAATATAAAATATATTTATTATGTAAAAAGTTATATTACGTAATTAATATAAAATTGAATTAAATTAAAATTAATTTTTTGTATTTCTTTTTTTTGTTTTTGTTTATTTTTGAAATCATGACACTAATTTTTGTTAGTCTATAAAAATATTGATTTGTTAAATCTATAAAATCAGAAAATATTTGTTGTCAAGAAATGACAGATAGCCCCTTATCTCGATTTTTCTATTTGAATTGCAGATTATTTCAATTTTTCTGTTTTCTATGCAATAAAAAATTGACCATTTTCTGTAATGAGATTATAAAATTTCTGAATACTATAAGTTTATTATTCGAACAAAAGTGTTATTATCCGTTACAATAATTCTTTAAAGAACTGAAATTTCAGTGTATAATTTTACGCATTCGATCAAAAGTGATTTATGCAGTAGTTGACCTTTGCATTGCATTATACACAGATAAGGCTTTACAAACAACTTCGAAAAAGCAGTTCTGTCATCTATCAAAAAGCTACTCAAATGCAGGCGTGATATTACGAGCTCATAATCAATAATATGATGGAGAGTCAACATTGTTTACGTTAAATCTAAAATATAGTAAGAGATAGTGTACACCAGACACCCACACAAACATTGATTTCCTCTGACCGATGTTCAACATATATATAGAAAAAAATTATTGATTATTTATAGCTATATATTGCTAATTATATTATTCTGCCTTGTTTTATCGAACATGTTTATATATTTCTTATATTTGTAAATTTTGCGTTATAAATCTTTAACTCTTTTTTTTCGGATAATAATCTTACTGTATTCAGAAATTTTATAATCTCATTGCAAAATAATCAATTTTTATTGCATAGAAAACAGAAAAATGTAAATAATCTGCAATTCAAATAGAAAAATCGAGATAAGAAGTTATCTGTAATTTCTGTTTTTACAAATTTAACAACCAATTAGTGTTTGGCGATATTTCTAATCACAAAACTTGACTTAAAGGTCCATATATTTTATAAATTCTAAAGCACTCTGAATATAATGTTATTTTTCTTAATTTTCATAAGCAACCGCGACGCTTTATGTGGTGACGTAAACATAATTAATTTAAAGTACAAAATGAGGGAAAAATATATTTATTACAAGGGTAAAATGCAATACAAAAATCAATTTTGATTAAATTTTCGCGGACAGAATATGATCATAGTTTATGTTTGACATTTTTCCAGTCCCAGCGCTGCTCTCCTTTACGAAGAGTTTCCATTCGAGGTTCGATATCAATATTTAGATAATCGTGTACATTTCCGGCGCGTTTCAACGGTGTCCATTTAATTGGAGTTAAAACTGTAGTCGCGAGTGTTGGATTCCTAGAAATAAAAATGTAAAATTGAATATTAATTTTATTAATACACGACTGTAAGATTATATTAAACTACCAAGTACCCTGTTTTAGCAAAATCCGTCCACATCTGCGTTAAGCGATTCATTATCTTGTAATCCTTTGAATCAGGTGCAAGTGGTGGAAAGCCCATTTCTTTTAACATATGAGGATAAAATAAGTAATACAGTTCCTCAGAGTGTGTCACACCTGCAAAATATAGTTAATTATGCAGTAAAAATTAACACTAAGAGAGAAAATCCAATCTTTATTTAAAAATTTTTTTTTTTTGCTATTTCTAGGAACTAAGAGAGAAAGAAAATAACTTGCACATGTTCCTCTTGATGAAATATTAAAAATTTTTAATTCTCCTTTGGATTTAAATTTTCTCCTATCATAAAATATCCCAGAAAAGAAGTACATTTTGCTTTCTCGCATATAAATATAAAAACTTATTGTTAGAATTTTTTTGTTTTAAACTTTTAACATGAACGCGTATTTATTGTAGTTATTAAAGATTAATGATTTATTTTAAAAGGTTAATGATCTTATATTAGCAAACTTGAATTAATTAATGACTGTACCTGGAAGAGTGACATTCAAGAATTTCTTCAAGGGAGAAGTTTCACTCTCGTATGAAAATTTGTACAAGTAGGTCGGCTCGTTAGCATCAGAGCTCATTTGAGTATCGGCTATCTCCATAATTCCGCGATAAAATAATTCATCGCCTAGAAAATCAGCGTAATTCATCAGAGTCTTCTCTGACACTGCTTCATTACCAAAGTATATAAATCGTAGCTCTTTGATTGTAATCGGAATTTGCGGTAAGATAGACAAAACTCTAGGTGTGATGGCTTTCTTGAAATCGGAATCGATTTCTTTCAAAGACTTCTTGGTTATTTCTGAAATGATTTTAAGTGATTTTATGTACAGGATGTATTTCAAACGAGTAATATTTAATAACGATCGACTTCACACACATAAAATTTTCCAAGAAAAAACTTTTAAAATATAATTCTAGCCTGATTCTTGCATTTAAGATTAAAATTATAATTTATCAACAATTACTTGCATATATATGCATAACATTAACTATACAAATTATTTTAACATCAACAATGCTTTCGTTATCTATCATTATAGCGTTGTGTTATTACTCTCAACAGACCTTGCGCGAAAATTTGCGCGCGCTTGGTTAAAGATATAATTAGTAGAACTCAAATAAACATACTTACGTCTGTCAAATATGCTGCTGCACGCTAAGTAAGATCCTTCGCAACTGTTATAACCCAAAATGAATGGTACTTTAACCCGGCGACGTATCAACGTGCTTGGATGTTCCGGGAAGAATGGATTCGACGATTCGCGATCTAAACTTGGCGTAAATACCAGTACATTTTTCAGGCGTTCCTGCAAGAAAATGTCTTGATGAACAAATTTTTTGGTAAAAAAAATCTATAAACATTTTTTGATATCGCGAAAGAATATTAAGATGCTCACCGCTGCTGTCAAAATCTTCTGTTCAGCTTTTCTGAGCTTTCCCGCGTCGATCGTTTTCAGAAATTCACAAGCGATCTTCGGGTCCGAAGTCGCTTTTCCGAGATGCTCGGCAAGCTGGAAACCTTTATTCGTCGCTTTATTTGTCCATTCGGTAAAAGCCCAGGGATTTGCGCCGACGCCACTTTGCGATATCGCTTTGTGAAACAAACCTGTAGACAGCACATTCGATACGATTAATTGCCTCTAAAATTAGCCTCCTCTTCTCTCCCATTTCGGCAACATACAAAGCATATTTTTCTGCAGATTATTGATTCCTTCAGCAAACTCAATATTTTCGATTTTTTTAATAAAAAATATTGAGTCAAATTATTAATTGTTATTTATATTATTTTATTTATTAATTGTTATTATGTATATTTTATATATAATATATATTATTTTTATGTATTATATATATATATATATATATATATATATATATATATATATATATTATACATATTATATATTTTTTTGCAATTAGAATTAAATTCCAAAATACTTAAACCAACATTTCAAAATATAATTTACTTGAAACTATAACTAACTGGTTTTATTCTATCGATTCGCGAGGATTTTTTTTATAATTCTTTTGATAATTTTCCATCTCTGGATAAGATTAGTCAATAAGTCTGTGATTAAATGACACTTCTGAGACACTGTATATATGATAAACCTGCGTGATTGATACCTTTGCTTAACGGAGACAGAGTCAAATAATGTACGATGACTCCACCAGCGCTTTCGCCAAAGATGGTGACATTTCCTGAATCTCCAGTGAACTTTGATATATTTTGTTGAACCCATTGTAATGCCATAACAACATCCTTCATACCTTGATTGCCCGTTGCCACTTCATCGTTAAGATTTAGGAAACCTGAAATAAATGGCTCAAAGCATCAATACATCTTCCTTTCGCAAACTCGATTTATCTAAGCTAACAAAATATAATCAATTTGTATCTAAAATAAAATTGATTATGGTATGTATTTCTTTAATTTTTCAATATTACTTTCAAATGCATGTTTACGGACAAATATTTATCGCACAATGCAATAGTAAAAGCAATTCGCAAGAACATAGATTAATTTTTTTTTCTTTTGTTTCAAAATCTCGTCGAAAAAATTAACTTTAAAAATTAGCCGTCTCTGAAAAACGTCAACACGCGAAATACGAGCTGCATCTAAAAATGTTTGCGCTGAAACAAAAAAAAAAAAAATACGCAGACAAAAACACAAGTGACATACTACATATGCATATATACAAGATGTTAAAAAATTGGACCGATAAATTTTTAAAAGAGGAGGAAAAATACTTCAAACATTTTTTGTTAATACCTACTAATTTTCACGTTTCAATACTACATAAGTTTGTATTGAAGTTAATGGAAGAATTTTTGAGCATTTACTAGAAAAAAATGTAAATGATTTTTATGCATTTGTTCTATATTTTGTTCAAGATTAAAATACAATTTAATTTTTCCACCAGCTTATATGTTTGTTTATCGTTGAATCCACAAACTCCTATTTCATATCATGTAGTATAAAAGTAAAGGCGTCGTAGAGAAAAATGGTATTAAAAATATTGATTTTGAAATCTTTTATTACTCTTTATCTACATTTTTAACACCGTGTATATACAACGCATCGAGCCAACGTACCGAGAACACCTAGTCTATAATTTAACGTGACCAATACCACATCCTTCCGGACAATATAGTCTGGACCATAAACGGATGCATCGCCGGAACCTATGCTAAAAGCGCCGCCGTGTATCCACACCATGACCGGACGTTTTCTCCATGATTCGACGTCTACGGTGTACACGTTTAAGTAGAGGCAATCCTCGGCGCCGATCAATTCGCGCGTGATAACATCCACCTGAGAAGCGACGTTTCCGTATTTCGAAGCATCTCTGCTGCCGGACCATGGTTCCGGTGGTACCGGATCCTAAATACCATGCAGGATTGGGTAATAACTAGTTAATAAGTTAAAAAGTTAATAACTTTTAACTGAGCTTATAGTTAATTTAAAATATAGTAATTTTTCACCTCAACTAGTTATTTTTCACCTTAAACTTATTAACTTTTTCCCTAAGTTAAATTTCTTCTATCTCTAAATACCATTATTGTTCTTTCATAAGTTATAAACGTATTATTTTTTTAAATCAATTGTAATTAAGTACCAAAAAATATATTTCTATATAAAAATAAAAATTTCTTTGTTGTTTGTTATTATAAATTTTAAAAGCATTAACAAACAAAATTCTAATTTAATATAAATGTTTTTAAAAATTAAATTTTGATTTAACTTCAGTTAATTTAATCTTAACTTAACTTTAACTGAGTTAATTTTTTGTACATGAAACTTGTAACTTAACTAAATTAATTTTATAAGTAATTAACTGTAACTTAACTTAATTTTTTAAAAATTATTAAATTATCCAACCCTGCTAAATACATATCATACAAATTGCTTCTGATGATTACACTGTTTAACAAAAAAAATTACTTCTTTTTGAACACCGAAATGAGACTAGTCATTTCTTATAGTTTTTTTGGATGCTGAATGCGAATTTGATTTCCAAATTGCTCCGTCACGTCACAATTTTGAGAAAATTTTAATTAAAATTGCACTGAAGAATTATTTTCACGAACTTTGTCATATTATAACTAAAATATGTGACGTGCTATTTTATTGTAATCAAAATAAAATCAAACTAAATACGAACTGTGTTGCGGAAGTTAGCTATGATTTACAATGAGGCCATTGATGATTTATTAAATGACTTTTAAGGATTTTTTAGGTCATTGAATATGTATAATTTAATATCAAAAATTGTCAAATTTGAAATGATACTCAAATGAGAGATGTCAAAATTTAAAATACTTTTTTTAATATAAATTTTTTTATATAAATATAAATATTGAGTCCACCATTTTGAATCTGACAATTTGGACACTGGATTCGTATTCAGTGATCTAAAAAAGATTAAATAAACATAATTGAAATTTATTTAGTAAATCGTCAGTGACCTAAGTCATCCTATTTAACTATGGATATCTTATTGATCTTAATCGACATCAAAAATTCCTTTTGAAGGTTGAAAATCATAACAATTCCTTTTGAAGGTTGAAAATCATAACAATTCCTTTTGAAGGTTGAAAATCATAACAATTCCTTTTGAAGGTTGAAAATCATAACAATATACTTTATTTTTATTGCAATAAACATTCTCTATAGTACGTGTCACATATTGTATATTATAATATAATAAAACGAAAAAAACTTTTTTGTAACTTTAATTAAAAATTTCTCAAGATTGTGACGTGATAGAATAATTTGGAAACCAGATTCGTATTCAGTAATCAAAAAACGATAAGAAACGACTAGTCTTCTGGTTAATTTTTTTGTTGACAGTGTTACAGATGCGATATGTTTATCTTGCGTAAGAAACATAACGAGAGAATAGTTGAAGAGCATTGACACACATACATAAAAGTGGTAATAGAAATCGACCTCGAAATCGACACACATGTCTTCGAAATTCGTAAAAGAGGTCTTTTCATTCAAGAAATTAAATATTAATTCTTTTCATTATCAATAAGCAAAGTCCACGTGAAGAACGTGGACGATGATTATATGTAGACATGTCAGTACTTAAATGACATAATTCACATTAGAAATTTATTTTCTTATCTTATTTATGATAAATTTTTACTGACGAATAGAACGTTTCCAAACATTCGAAGTAGAAAAATTCGACGAGCAATACTGAAATATTTATAAATAACTTTTTTTGCTACATAACATGTATTTTTCAAGGCTAACAAGGCAGGATCATCGCGAGAAATTTAAAGAGTATGCATAATAGAATTCAAACAATAAACGAATCGACCAAACGCACACAAGCAAAAATGCTCGATTGTGATTGATTGATTTGTTTTCTACGTTCGCGTTTTTTACGTGCTTTAATTACATAAATCTTACATAGAGAAAAGAAGCTTAATTCACGTTAAAAATAAATTATAGAAAGAGAAATTCTTCAAGATTACACCTGAGATTGTCATTGCTGTAATTTAAAAATCAACTTACAATAAGGATTATATTTTTTCTAACTTTCAAAAACTCTTCCATAAATTTTTGCGAATTATTCAATGGCGATTGATCGTTTTCCAAATTGTTCCCAGTTATATGAGATTATTTAACAATTAAAAAACAACTTGAAAACAATTACGTTGTTTGTCCCCAACTTCATTTAACTACAATTTCCGTATAACCGAGACTCTTCTGATCTCTCCAATTCCCAATTCTGGATAGAAAGGCAAACTCGAGTTTCAAGTTCGCCAACAAAGATAACAAGACACGTGAGAGGGCACTCACCTTGAACCTTAGTTTGCCGACCGGCGGTTTCGCGTACGGTATTCCTCGGAAGGCGACGTAATGGCCGCCTTGAACATTTTCCTCGACGATACCGATTAATTGGCCCTCGCGCACGTTCACGACCACTCGGTCGCCGTTCATGTCGGACACTGAACGAATAACGTCAGAATCGGCGCTGATAACCTGGCCGAGATCCACGCAGCGTGACTGTCGACGTGTCTCCGTCGAGATTATGCAACCATATTTACGCTCACGCAATCGAACTTGGAACTTGGAAGCATATATGATTATAAAACGAGTTGAACTCGCGAGGAATGATGATTTGCCGTTTCTCGATAATGCTCATTACGAATATCGCCGATTATGTTATTGATAATCATTCGAGACTTAATTATCATATATGTGCGCAAACATCGATTTTGTATTTCTTGATTATCTTCATAAACTCATTCGTCTAAGCCAGAAGGAGATAGTATGGCTAGACAAAAAATATAAATTAGATTTTTCTTTTCCCGAAAATTCTCTCATTGGAATTATGGATCAGTCTAACGCATGATTTGATAAAAGTATTGTAGCAACCTAGTTATCATTTTTCAGAACATTATTAGTTTTTTTTTTTTTTTCAAAAATAGAGAAGGTGAAAATGTGTTTAAATAGAAATATACAAGGAGAGAGAAAGAAAAACACTTCATATTTAAAAGAATATATTTTTCATACGTCTGAAGTTAATAAATCTCTGATCAAGAATTGTAAAATATTTTTTGATTAAAATTACAATTTTTTGTCACAAAAAATAAAATCTTTTTCTCATTCGGTAGTCTTACTATGTATTTTATTACATGTAAAACATCATACTTTAAGCCTGTTCTCCCAATCCCATCGTTGTTCTCCTTTAATAAGAGCCTCCATTTGAGGTTTAATATTAATATTTAAATAATCATACTTATTTCCATGTTTCACTGGAGTCCATGTAAAATCAGTTGAATTAGGTGTTGGATTTCTGGAATAAATATATAATTGATTATTACGCGATTGTAAGATGTCACAATAAATATTCATAAAAAATGTCAAGTCTATGATACCCCGTTTTAGCAAAATTTGTCCACATCTGCGTTAAGTGTTTCATTATTTTATAATCCGGCGAACTAGATGCAAATGGTAACACACCATAATCTATTCCTACATAAGGATAAAATAGATAACCCAGTTCCTCGAAGTGAGATACACCTACAAAATATTGTTATATAAATTAATCTCAAAAGTTGATAATTTTTCCAGTACATTACAATAAGTGTAATCTAAAATTTATATTTAAATGTTGTCTAAATTTTTCTTAATCAAATTTCTCCAAAACTACGTTTGTCTTCTTACTATCATATATAGACATTTGAAGACATTTAATTTCATGTTCACTTCTTTTCTAACTCTAATATTAATTTGATTCTTACATATAGTTCTACATTAATTAACAACGCAATACCTGGAAGCGGCTTTTTGAACCATATTTTCTTCATAGGAGAAGTATTACTTGCGTATGAAAATTTGTACAAGTAGGTCGACTCGTTAACATTAGAATTCATTTGAGTATCAATTGCTTGTATAATGCCTCTATAGAAATGCTGATCGCTCATAAAATCGGAAAGATCCATTATAGTTATCTCTGACACACTTTTTTTACCAAAATACAATGATCGTAATTTCGGTATTGTGATCCCTAGTTGTGGTAATTGACGCAAAACTTTAGGATGTATGGCTTTCTTGAAATCAGAATTAATTTCCTTTAAAGTCTTGGTGTTTACATCTGAAACGATTTTAATAACGATTGTAATTTTAATTTAATTTATTTTAACTTTAATTTTATTTTTAATTTTTATTTAGGTATTTTAAATAAATATGTAACTCTATTACTTTGAACAAAACGGTTTCATTAATAAATAATTAATAATTGTTTGTACATTTAAAAGTTACATATTGATGAAATCCTGAAACTTATTAATATTGATTAAATTTATTATAACATTTTGTGTACATCCAAATATTTTTAAAATATTGCAGATCGCTTTTCTATGAAAATTTTACATAAAATTGATTCATGATATACTAATAATAATGTGTAATAATGAAAAGCAAAAGCAAATATATATACTTACGGCCGACAGAAGTGGCTCTTATGAAATAATTGCCTTCGTTGCTATTATATCCGAACATGATTGGTACTTTAATTCCATCACTTAATAATTGCAATGGTTCTTTTGGTAAAATAGGATTCGATGACTCGGAATCCACGGTCGGCGTAAATGAAAGTAAAAGATTTAAACCATTCTGCAAGAACATAATATTATCAATATAAAAAATAATGTATTGTAATTCATCGAACATTATTATTGCAATAATCGTAATAGAGCGTTGCGATATTTACGTCTACTGTCATAAAGACCATCATTTCTGTTTCTCGCAATTTTCTTGCGTCTATCATTTTCAGAAATTGCAAGGCGACTTCCGGATCTGAAGTCGTTTTACCAAGTTTCTGGGCTAACATCAGACCATTATTGATGGCATTGTTTCGTTCAATAAAAGCCCAAGTATTAGTCATGACGCCACTTTGACTTATTGCTTTATGAAATAAACCTGTTAAGCACACATTCGTACATAATATATATATATATATATATATATATATATATATATTAATCGATTCCAAATTGATAATAAAAGACAGTTAATATTGATATACATATATTAATAATATTTAAGAACACATTTTATATAAAAAAATAAAAATATAAATATATAATAAACCTGTTAAGCACACATTCGTACATAATATATATATATATATATTATGTACGAATGTGTGTGCTTAACAGGTTTATTATATAATTATATATATATATATATATATATATATAATTAGCATTCAAAAAAGTTTTATATAATTTTATCATGAGATCTTTGCTTTTTTTCTCTTTCACTCAAAATAACAGATAAAATTAATCAGCATGCTTTTAAGCAGGTTTATTATATAATTATATATATATATATAATTAGCATTCAAAAAAGTTTTATATAATTTTATCATGAGATCTTTGCTTTTTTTCTCTTTCACTCAAAATAACAGATAAAATTAATCAGCATGCTTTTAATTTTCAATTATCAATTTGGAATCGATTTTTTTACTGAAGAATGTTATCAGTTATCTTGCAAGTAATTTTCTGCAACGTTCTAAAACGTCGATGTTATATAGTTAGCACAATCGAGATTTAAACGAAAATAAAAAATATCTTAATTTAAAATTAAATTTTTGCTATAGCAAAGTTATAAAAAAATTTTTATTTTTTTATATAAAATGTGTTCTTAAATATTATTAATATATGTATATCAATACTAACTGTCTTTTTGACTTGTTCCTTTAGTTAACGGTGAAATAGTAAGTAAGTGAACTATCGCTCCAGCCGCACTTTCACCAAAAATTGTGACGTTATCGGGATCTCCACCGAATTTCGATATATTTTTTTTAACCCATTTTAATACCATAACTACATCTTTTAAGCCCTGATTTCCCGCCGCCATTTTTTTAGAAAGATTGAGAAAACCTAAAAAGAGAGTGAAAGAAACATGTCGTTAATACGTTTAGTAAAGTTTATTTATATAAGTTATATAAACATATAAAATTTCAGCGATCAAATAAATTAATTTCACGAGATTTTTTAATTAAGTACTTATAATTCGACAACTGTTTTTTAAAAAAACAAAATTTATAAAAAAAGTTATGAAACGTTAAAATTTATGAAAAAGTTATAAGTTAAAAGAATTGATTATTGTTTTGAAATTGGTATTTTTAAAAGACATATACATACACGTAAATTATTTGAATTGTGTAGGATGCGTGTGCATGTGTTTACTTGAAAAAAATAGATTATTGAACGCAAGTAACATACAATGATTTCGAGCTAATTAATTATGTACCTAGAACACCTAATCTGTAATTCAGGGTAACAAGTACCACATCCTTCTGCACGATATGATCGGGACCGTAAAAAGACGAGGTGCCATCTCCAAAGAAAAAGCCTCCACCATGTATCCACACCATCACAGCGCGTTTCTTTGAAGGCTTCATATCGTTGGTATACACGTTCAAATAGAGACAGTCTTCATCGCCTACGATGTTTTGTGTTAAAACATCTGCCTGAACACAGACGTTGCTGTAAAATGAAGCGTCTCTGTCGCCGGACCATGGTTCTGGTGGTTGCGGATCCTACAATCAATGTTTATTATCCAAATAAAACTTTATAGATGATCAGCTAGATGAAATTTTGGCGTTATCTTATCTTGATATAGATAATAAAAAATATGTATTATCTATATCTGCATCTTACAATTAGATGAAAAAAAAGGTTATCTTTATTAAATTATCCAGATAATTTGGTTTAGAGTCATAGCATAAAAATAATTAATTAGTAGAACTTAAACAATAAGCGATAAAAATTTAGAAATAAAAGTATGAATATTTTTATATCCCTTTTATAATTTACATTTTTTTCTAACTGTGTCTACATAAGCGATCTTAAAAGTAGTAATATTAGTAATATTATCTGGAAGTTATCTAGATAAATCGCATAATTTAATTAGATATTTTAAAACAAAATCATCTTAATTTTATCTAAAATAAATTTGCATATTCATCTCATCTTTATCTAGCTAATTTTAAAGTCATCTAAACACAACACCACTGCCTACATTAAACATGTAAAATTCGTCAAAGAATTACATCAAACACTTGTAGCAACAGATACACATGCAAATACAAAATGGGGTATGAAACGGACTAATAAGAGAGATAAACATTTGTTTTTCTCATTATTTTGAACATTTCGGTTTGGACTATCTTCAATAGATTACTAAGAGAAAATTCAAATGTCTTAAAAATATATGATGTTTAATCAGAGCCTTATTAATTTATTATAAATACGTATGCAATTGCGATCTGCTCTAAACTTAGCGATATCGTTAAGTCATAAATCCTTTCTTTGAAAAAGGCATATTAACTGAATGAATTTAATTTTAATCGAAGTATTGAGGGTTCTTTTCCGCGATGCTGGTTGGTTGTCTCGAAGTTTGCTTCGCGGCTTGAATCACAACCAAGTTGTTTGACAATTTTACAGTTTGCGGTTAAATTTAATATTATTTTAATTTACCGAGTTCCTATTATATCTACACATAATTTTATGTTTATGTCATTATGAATTTCTATTATGTATATTATATTATTTAATTTTAATTCACCGAATTACTATTATATGCACATAATTTTAATTTGCCGTATTTCTGTTATGTAAATAATTTTAATTCGCTGAAATTAATGATAGATAGAATAATCGATTCATTTATCTATCTCTATTCGATATTGCATAAGGTCATAAGGGGATATTATTCTCGTATCTTTCTAAAAGTTTCTAAAAGTTATATTATTTTTTAAAAGTGCGTTTTTCTATAAAGATAAAGTTTAAACGAATTTACTACATTTTTCACATTTCTATTTTTTCAATTTTCGAAATGTACCTGTCGCGATGATGCATAGAACGTCGCACATGGCAAGAAACTTTGAAATATACGAACTACAGCTATGAAAACTTCGGTTCGCACAAGTTTACCGTATCGCGCATCATGTGCGCGCTCATTCCCTTAAAGCCATATAAGGTAGAAAAACTTAACCGGTAGAACTTTGTAAGCAATCAATTAATCCTCTCAAGAATGGTAGATTAGATCGAGAAGAATACTCTCAACAGTGATTGATCGATTTGCTTTATCGCTTAAGTTCTATCACTCAAGTGTTTTTACACGCTTTAGTTACACGAACAATGCAATGAGAGGATTAATTTATGCTAAAAATAGAACGTTTAATTGCACGGCACGTTTGCACCTCAGAGTGTTTATATAATTGTACATTGCACTTATAATATGCATTTATTATAAATTTTTAGCGTAAAATATTTTTCTCTTATTACGTTGATGAGAAATTATTATTATTATTTTTAACAATTTAGATATATACAGGATTTTCAGGAGGAATGGTCAGTATTCTAGGACTTGATTGTATACATACATCATTTTAAGCATAACAATTTATGTAAAAATGGGTCTATTTTGAACTGTTATGAAGATACAATGTTCAAGTTTAAGAACGAAGACATTTGTTAACTTAATAAAATTAAATGCTATGAAAGAATTATATTAAATTTTTGTAAACATTAGTTCATCTTCGATAAGTCTTGTGTTAGTTTCAAATTTTTAGTTCCTGATGTAATTAAAATGGCTCATATTAATTCATGTCAAAATTATTATTAATTAATTGAAAAATATTTATTAATTATTCAAATGTATTGCAAGTTGAAAATTTCATACAATTTGATTTTAATAAGTTAATGAATGTAGTCATTCTTAAAACTGATTATATAATATCTTTCTGTCCAAATTAGGACATATGTTTATATAAACTTTTTTACCTAAAATGATATGTACAATTATGTCCTAAAATTATGTAAAAGATCCTCCTGTATAACTAAATTTTATTTCTATTTTTTTTTTGCAAATTACTGTATCTTTTATATTTTATAAAATTATTCATTAAACAGTTTGTATCACTTGTCAAAGTGAATCTTTTAACAGAGATATAGTAATATTTATAATCATATGTCATTCTCTGTACTTACTTGAAATCTGAGATCATCCACTGGAGGTTTAGCATATGGTATTCCACGAAAGGCATTGTAAGAATTGCCATAGATGCTTTCCTCGACGATGCCGAATAATGTCCCTTCGGACACATGTACTTCTACTCTGCCCGTGGGAGATGACTCTGAAAAATTTATGCTCTGGCTAATTTATTACGAAAAATAAGTATTTATATATAAACACATATAGACATTCTCTAATTGTGATCCGAAAGATACACGATGTTAAAATCAAGTTCGTATCTTGATAAATATAAAGATAAATAAATAATTATTTTGTGTACTACAGGGAAAATGTCGCTCTTATTAAATATATACATTGTAACAGCAATAAAACATTATTAACAAATTGTTCGATATTGCAAACACAATCTGTCTCGTTCTCGTCGCAGATAAAGAACTTTTTTATTTAACAAAATTAATTTTCCTCATAAATCTTTTTGCTATCTGTACAACAAGTAATAAACTTTATTACACGAGATATATGAACAACTATATCAACGAATAAGTGCATTTTAATGCCATTCCTTTGAAAAAGAAAAAATACATTAATTATGATTATAGTTACTATGCATGGTTAAATTTGAAGTATTACAAAAAGTTACAACATATTTAGATTTTTATGTAGGTATATAAAAGTATATACACAAAGTATCCTACAATTACATTCCTCAGTAAAAATGTCGAGAGGAAGGCCATCATTTTTTGCATGTTCCCAATTTTTATTATGTATTATCTTTGTAACTAAATTTTAAATTAAAATACTACTAAAATAAAGAAAATGTAGTTTTGTTGATATTTTATTTTCACAAGGTTTAATTTATAATTTATAATAAGTAATAATGTATAATAAGGCTTAAGTTATAATTTAACGAAAATTTAATTTTTCAATCGCTTATAACTCGAAAATTATTGGTGCCTCGACATTTTTACCGAGGAAAAATCGTCTCCAAATGACCTTATAGGAATCTCCTTTATTATCAGGATGTCTGGTAATTTTGGGACATATATATTTATATATAAAATTCGCGAATTTTATATAAATATATGTCCCAAACCAGATCCTGATAATAAAATTCCTATAAGGTCATTTGGAGACGATTTTTCCTCGGTAAAATGTCGAGGCACCAATAATTTTCGAGTTATAAGCGATTGAAAAAATTAAATTTTCGTTAAATTATAACTTAAGCCTTATTATACATTATTACTTATTATAAATTATAAATTAAATATATATATATATATATATATATATATATATTGACGCTAGATCGTGTCTAGAAGAATTGGCTCTCGCACCTATATGCATCCGCGATTTTAAATTTCCACACGGGTGCTATTACATATAAGAGACAATACACGACAAAGTGCTTGCACATGTATGTGTGTGTATGTGTTTTCGAAACATCACCAAGCATTGTCGTCGTCACGTCGTTCTTGTCATCCCGATACGCGACTGCTTTTAACTCTTGATCGATGGTGACGAAGGCGACGATAATCGCGTCATGTTCGCTGAATTGAACGGAGATGTCAAGCCGAAACGCACCTTCGGCCGCTTATATTCTATCTATACGACGTCGATGCAATCTTCGTCGCGCATCGTGTTCGTTAATTCAGTGAAATATAATTAATCGGCTTTGTTGTCGCGCGCGCGCGCGCATCAAAGAGGACGGATGAGAGGCGTTATATGAAAACTTGCTATTGCGTCTTGCCATTGTGTTCCCCGAGGTATGCCCGAGGAATATTGCGGTATGCACAATGCACACTATATAAATGCAAATTTACTACAGAATTGCGGAAACAAATAAAAATGGCGGTCCATACGCGCGCCGCGAAGCAGTGATACACAAGTCTGCGGAGAAGCTTTCCCGGACAAAGACATAAATCAATGTGCAATTGATTGTGGAATACTAGGGAATTTTTTTAAATCCGAAATTGTTCTATTCGATAACTGATCGCGCGACATTTTGTGTGTTTATGTGCGCGTTTTCCGTTGGAAAGCTCCCTGTATTAGAGGGCTTTGGGTGCTTTTCAGTAACGGAAGTGTTATACAGTTCTTTTTCCTTGAATTATATACCATCTGCAGTATTTGCTGTTATCTAAATAAAATTATATAGATGATCATCTAGATGAAATTTTGGCGTTATTTTATCTTTAGATAGATAATAAAAATATATGTTATCTTTATATCTGCATCTTAGATGAAAAAAAGGGTTATCTTTATTAAATTATTCAGTTAATTTGGTTTAAGGTCATAGCATAAAAATAATTAGTAGAACTTAAGCAATAAGTATGTCGCCAGGGTTTGCTGTTATCTAAATAAAATTACATAGATGATCATCTAGATGAAACTTTGACGTCATTTTACTTTTATATAGATAATAAAAAATATGTATTAATCTATATCTGCATCTTAGATAAAAAAAAGTGTTAAATTATGTAGAATAATATTCAAATAATTTTTGGTGTAAAGTCATAGCACATAAAGATACTTAAGTAATAAAGCTTAAGCAGTAAGCGATAAAAATTTACAAATAAAAATATAAATATATTTTTATATACCTTTTATAATTTACATTTTTTATAATTGTGTTTACATAAGTTGTCTTAAAAATAATATTATCTAGAAATTGTCTAGATGAATCGCCATATAATTTTATCTTTTATCTAAATATATTCAAAACAAAATCATCTTTATTTTATCTAAGATAAATTTACATATTTTCTCAATTTTTAGCTAGCTAATTTTAAAAATATTTAAACACAACACTGACCATCTGGTAAATAAAAATCTTACCTTCACGGCCCCAAACAAGTTGATTGAGTATTAGAATGCATTTCAAAATGGAGACCAAACGTAAGCTCACGTTTGACATTTTTATCTCTATTCACGGATGACAATATCTCAACTAGTAAAGGCTGACGATGTCAACGATCTGTAATAATTTAAAATTGCAGAAGATACTTTTACCATAAAAAATAATAAAAATGTAAAAATATTGGTATCCGCGAAGTGACGCAGAACGACGATACATAATATTTTAAGTAGATGATGTTGACTGCTGTCACTAAGACATATCCTTACACAATATTGCTTATATTGTAGGAAAACACTCTGTTTACTAAATTAATTAATTTCTTCTGAACGCGCGATTGATTTTTTCAAGAAACAGTTGTGTACGTATGTACATGCCACGGAAAAAAAGATTGCTGTCAACCATAATAAATTTTAATTATATAATGCAAAATAAAATTCGGCTCGTATGCAATTGAAATATGTGATAAATTAGAAGGCCAACTTAACGACCTATAAGGTATTAATTACAATTTTTTATTATTATATGTCATATTATAATGTTACAACTGATAAACGTTTCGACTGTACGACAGTCTTTTTCAATATCATTATCGCTATGCTAATATGTCAAAGAATTAAATCATTTAGTAAAACCGAACTTATTATACATATATCATCTATAGGATTATATTATGAACAACGCAGTAAAAATTCATGCTTATTGGCTTGAGTTAAAACGCCTAATCTCGAACATCAGATTTCTGTCGTTCATGCTGTTATAATCTAAATAAAAAAAAAATAAATTTACTGCGTTGTTCATAATATAATCCTATAGATGTTATATGTATAATAAGTTCGGTTTTACTAAATGATTTAATTCTTTGACATATTAGCATAGCGACAATGATATTGAAAAAGACTGTCGTACAGTCGCAACGTTTATCAGTTGTAACATTATAATATGACGTATAATAATAAAAAATTGTAATTAATACTTTATAGCTCGTCAAGTTGGCCTTCTAATTTATCACATATAATAAATTTTGTTAGTACAAATGGACAGCAAAAAAATTTGCTAAAAATACTAATTTTATTTGCTGAAAGTATATTTGCTAATTATTCTGCAAATTATATTATAATAACAAAAACTATCTTTACTCTGCAATGATGATTATGTATTAACAATGATGATTTTACTATAGTAACAAAATATATTTGCTGGAAATAAATATTTGTTTTAATAGTAAATTAATGTTTATGTACAAATTAACTCAGCAAAATTTTTTTATCCTATCAATTAAACAGATTTTACTGTACCATTAAAAAATTAATTACAACAGCAAAATTTGATTGCTGTTACATCAAATATACAATAGCAATGATTTTGCTGCAACAGCAAAATTATTTTTTTCCGTGGCATAATTCGATTCTCCCAAGAGAGTTCACAATTTTCTAAATTGAGAAGCAGCGTGAAAATATATGTCTTGAGTATTTCTTTGTTTGGTTCTATAAGATAGACAGATAGATAAATAATCTGTTACTCTTTTGGAACTTGGCTTCTCTTCGCGATAAAGAGATTTTAAATAAGAAAAGGATTTTATTCACTATCGATGAGATCGGGACGATTTCTCTCTTCTCTTTCCGTATCGGACCTAGGCAGCTTAAATTTTTGAACGATCGAGGGAGAAGAAAATGCCAGCACGATAGTGGAATTGTGATTAAAGGGGAAACAGCGCAAGAGAAGTCGGAATATATCTGATTTGTGTTATCACGTGAGAAGTTTCTCGTATTTACTCGAAGAAAACTATTTCTCTCTTTCCCTCGGTATTCCCATTCTGATGCCTCTTCTCAAG